ATAAACTCCTGTTTGTGAAGGCCATCCCATCTGTGGTATTTTCTTGTGAGAGCGGCACCAGGGAACCAGAACAACCCTGAAGCTGCACTGTGTGGTTAAGTAGTCAGTGATGTTTCAGAAAGAAGCAGCATTTCAGGTCAGACAAAGGAGCAGCCAGAGATGGAGAAGGAGAAAGGGTGATCTGTAAGCAGAAAGAAAAACAGAAAGATGTGATATCGTAGAAGTTAAGAGAGAAAAGTGTTTCAAGAGGCAGGAAATCCTTATCCGAGTTGAATTCTGCCATGAGTTTAGGTAGGTTGCAGACAAGCTGACTGTTGGGTTGGTGACAGACTTGGTTGTTAGCAATCTGGGATCGTTCTAGTGAAGTGGAGGGCGCAGAAGCTGTATTTGCCTGGATTGAAGATGTCCATTTTCCCAAATATAACAAACTAGATATCCTGAAAGATCTTACTCTACAAAATCCTAGAAAAGCTAGGTCAAACAGAACACATTCTTTTAACATGTGAGCTTGTAAGGGATTAAAGGGAATATTCAGGGACCAAGGAGGAATTGAAAAATGGAGTATTGATCATATGAACTGATATTGTGGTAGCAGAAAGGTGGGTGGATGGTAACTGGTCTTGGTAACCAAGACTTTGGATTTTAAGGTTTCACTGATAAAGCATTAGCTTAAGTCAAGAGTTACAGCTAGAACTGTGGTAGGCTGAGTAATGACCCCCCCCCCCCCCGTATTCATGTCTTAATCTCCAGAATGTGTGAACGTTACCTTAGATGGCAAAACAGACTTTGAAGATGTGATTAAGAGTCTTGAGATAGGGAGATTATCCTAGATTATCCATGTGGAACCTAAACTCAATCACAAGTGTCCTTATAAGAGGGACGCAGAGGAAGATTTAACTACAGAGGAGAAGGTAGTGTGAGAGAAGCAGGAGAGATCTGAAAATGCTGCACACTGGCTTTGAAGATGGAGGAAGGGACCAAGAACCAAGGAATGTAGGTATGCAGCTCTAGAAGCTGGAAAAGGCAAGGAAAAGGTCCCTCAGAAACTTCCAGAAGGAATGCAGTCTGATTGATACCTTGACTTTAGCCCAGTGAAATGCATTTCAGACCTCTAGAGTGACTTTCTTAAAGTTCCAGAACTATAAGAGAATCAATTTGTGTTGTTTTAAGCCACTAAATTGGTTGTAATTTGTCACATCAGCCATGGGACACTGATACAATGAGCCTTCCCATAAATGTAATACCACTGAAGAGTTATACCTGCAATGTAAGTGAGCACTAGAAAAATAACACTCATCAGTACAGTGAGACGATAAAGAAGTATTTCTTATTTTGGACTGGGCTCTGTATAAAAAATATATACTTTTTAAAGTAGTTTTCTTTTTAATTCAAACATGGGCTCATGTGAGTTTGAGTTCATGTTTACACTAACTGCATGATGTAAGGACCTCCAAGCTTAAATGTTAATGTGAGAAGTGATTGCAGAGTTTTTATATAAGAATAAAGGGTCAAGAATAGCCAAGATACTCTTAAAGAAGAAGAACAAAGTGGAGGGACTTGTCCCACAAGATGTCAACAATGATTAAAGTCTATAGTAATTAATACAATGTGGTATTGGCAAAAGAATAGAAAAGTAAATTAATGGAACAGTATAAACCAAAACCAAACTCAATGCCATCGAGTTGGATCCAACTCATTGTGACCCCTCCTTGGGTTTCCAAAGTGGTATCTCTACAGAAGTAGATTGCCCAATCTTCCTTCCGAGGAGTGGCTGGTGGGCTTGAACCAGCAGCCTTCTGGTTATCAGTCAGATGCCTTAGGCACTATACCACCAGAGCTCCTATAGAGAGCCTAAAAATAGGTCCACATATTTGAAAATGTGATTTATGACAGAGCTGGAATTGCAGAGAATTAATTTCAGATTGAAAATGAACCTAAATATAAAAGCTAAAATATTAAGTTCTTAGAAGAAACTACAACACAATATATTTGCAACCTTTGTGGTTGTTGTTAGGTACCATCGAGTTGTCTCTGACTCATAGTGACCTTATGTACAACAGAACAAAACACTTCCCGGTCCTGTGCCAGTTCCATGGTCCCTGCTATGCCTGAGCCCATCACTGTAGCCACTGTGTCAATCCATTATGTTGAGGGCCTTCCCCTCTTTCATTGACCTTCCACTTTACCAAGCACAATATCCGTCTCCAGGGAATGGTCTCACAACCTTTAGTAGGTAGACATTTCTTAGTGCACACACACAAAGAGTAATAACAGTAAAGAAACAGATCTAATAAATTGGATCTAATCAAAATTAAAAACTGCTCTTCAAAGGATAGCATCAAGAAAATGAGAAGGCAAGCCACAGACTGAGAGAAAATATTCCATATGTGTATATATCTGACAATAGATCTGTCCTGAAAAACACAAAGAACGCTTACAACTCAGTAAAATAAAAAAGAGAATGAACCAATTTCAAAAATAGGCAAAACACTTGAGCAGTTATTTCATCAAAGAACATACACAAATGCTCATAAGCACATGAAATTGCCTTTAACATAATTTTTTTTTTGTCAGCGAAATGCAAAACTAAACACTAGAATGCCTAAAGGAAAAAGATTGACAATACCAAATGTTGGTGAGGTGAGAAGCAATGATGGGGATGTAAAATGGTACAATCACTTTGGAAAAACAGTGTGGCAGTTTGTTGCAAAGTTTAAAAATACATTTACCCTAAAATCTAGATATTTGAATCCCAGGTAAAATGGAAACATATATCCAAGAAATACTTAACACAAAAATGGTCATAGCAGCTTTATACGTAAAAGCCAAAAACTGGAAAACATCCCAATATGCATTAATAAGTGAATGGATGAATACATCATGGTATATTCATGCAATGGCACACTAACTAGCAATAAAAATGAATGAACTACTGAGTCACATAATAGTATGACTGAATCTCCACAACTATGTCAGGCAAAGGAATGCAGACACAAAATAACACACAATATATTATTTTATTCGTGGTGGATTCTAAAACAGGCAATACTAATCTGTGATGTTAGATATCGAAGCAGTGGTTTCCTCTGGGCTGGTATACTGACTGAAAACAGACAGGTGTGATGGAAATGCTCTGTATTTTGATTAGGGCAGCGATTACACAACTGTATGCATTAGTCCAAACTTTGACATGTACAATTAAAATATATTTCATTTTACTGTAGATAAATTATATCTCAATTAAAAAATACAGACCTGCTGGGACTCCAGATACTTGAGTTAGCAAACACAGACTTCCAAGTATAGGTGTGGTGAATATTTATAAACTAGATAAAGGAAACATGATAATTCCAGCAGAGAAAGGGAAAAATGCATATACACATGTACATATGGAGAGAGAGAGGGAGTAGAGAGACGATAGCAAGAAGGAGGGAGGAAGAAAGAGAGCACAGCTGAAAATCTTCGAACTGGAAGATACAGGTAGAAACTCAGTGGTTTAGACACAGTTGAAGGGAGAATTTGTCAACGGGAGGACTGTAAGATACGTCAGAAGAAAATACTTACAATGAGGCACAGAAAGGGAAAAAAAGTGTGAAATACATAAGAGAGAGAAGTTTAAAAGA